TGGTGAAATTAATTTCATTTTACATGAATATACGTATATACGTTGTTATATTACATAAAAAAAAAAAACTCAACGGGAATCGAACTTCAGTCTCAAGCGTAGTAGTCAGGCGCCTACGCTACACTGCGCTTCTGGAAAACCGTCCTCACGTAACGGATTTATATAAATAAATCCATATAGTTTGAATCGATTTTTCTCGAAAATGGCTGAGAGGTGCGTCCTATCCCTTTGCTCAAATATTCTTCTGATACAGTACCAAACTACAAAAAAACCTTGTTGAAATCGGTGACCCACACTTCGCGACCTCTCCTTGTAAGTATACGTAACTACTTTATTAAGTTTTTGTTACGGAAAAAATTTTGAAACACTGAATTGTCAGGGTCTATTAAATTAACAAAAGGATTTGTAGAAACTAACAAGTAGACCCAGCAAAACTTTACTTTCTGTGAAAAACAAAAAAAAGAAAAAGAAAAAATTTTGTCAAAATAAAAAATATTTAATGCAAAAAAACTTGGCGCGGCTGCACCAAAAATTTATCTACAGACAGACATATCTTACATGTGCACATGTAAGTATCAAACTGCCGTGCATATAAAAATTTCAGTTCATTATATTTGAGGTGCAGCCGCGCCAAGTTTTTTTGCATTAAATATTTTTTATTTTGACAAAAGTTTTTCTTTTTCTTTTTTTTGTTTTTCACAAACAAGGAAAGTAAAGTTTTGCTGGGTCTACTTGTTAGTTTCACTACAAATCCTTTTGTTAATTTAATAGGCCTAGACAATTCATTGTTTCAAAATTTTTTCTGTAACGAAAACTTAACAAAGTAGTTATGTATACTTAGATTAGGATAATAATGTACAAAAGTAACGTACAAAATTTACTTGGTGCTACTTTGTGATATCACTTTTTTTGTAAAACGGGTTTTTAGAGAAAGAATGTTTTGTAGTATATAAATTTTGTAAAACAGGTTTTATAGAGAAAGAAATTTTTGGAGTATAAATAAAAAATTAATTTAATTTAAATACAATATGTGTTGTGCGTGTACTTGGCGCCTGTTTTTTATTATATAATCTCACTTATGTACTGTTGCGTTGAAATATTTTATATACAATTAAAAGACAAAAATGATACATGCATTTCTATTTATTTTACTGAATATATTTACTTTTTATCTACTTTCCTTTGAATAATTGTGTTAAACTTTAAAAGTTACACGTCAGTGATATGTAACTTACTTGTTTGTGTCTTAATTGTTCTTTTCATATATATATTTTATATATTTTTTTCTTGTTTACTACAATAAACTCATACTGATAACAATAATAAATAATAGATATTTTATAAATATTTTTAACTTTTTATTGTATCAGCGTATTGTGTCAGCCAAAACACAAAAGCAGTGATGCCAGATTCCGGTCGTTTGGTCGCATGCGGTTACATGGAGGGGAATGCACACAACTTCATACTTCTTTTACGTGTGAGCCCGAGACTTCGGGCGCGGTCGGCGAGTAGAAAAAGACAGAGAGATGACTTTTCGTCTCGCTCTCGCTCGTACGAGTTGGCGTCGTTTACGATACGACGTTCAACACAGGGCTACCACTAATAGTGGAGCTTTGAGCTTACTATGACGGAAGAAGGGGCCATAGTCTCCTTTCGTCATCGGTAGGGTTACGTGCTATGAGAGGTGAGAGTCCCCGCTCATACCTCTCGTATACCCCCGGCGTCATACTTCCAGGAGGAGGGACGCCTCTTTAAGAACAAAAGACCCCCGCATCGCTCAGCCCAAGGACTGAGCGGGCAGAGGTTCCTCCCTTCAGGGATTAGAGCCCTCTTTGCTCTGAGGGACTTAGGTCCTTCGAAGACTGGAGACCCGGCCTAGATTTTGTGAGCTGGGAAGTTTCCAGCAAGGCAGCGAGGCCACTTCTCGCCCGCTGGGACTTAGTCTCCAGCACTTCTACTTTTTTGACGGTTCATGCTCTTGATGTTTTCCTCGATGCAGAAAGCACCGGGGAACCAGGAGCAGCCGAGCTCGTTGTCGCTCTTTTTTGCGCCTCCGGTACCTTGGGCGGCACCGAAGGCTTTTCTTCTGCCGCTAACTCTATCGGAGTGCCCTCCCTCGTCCGTTGAGGCAGTGGCCAAAGCCAGCTGGCTCGCAGAGGAGGGGGACTTTGGGACTCCTTCACGACCGTGGGGGGGGGGGAGTGAGCCTCTGTCTTCCCAGGGGCCGGCTTCTTGCCGGGAACCGGAGGGGCCGAGCAAGCCAGACCCCCCAGGCGATGCCCAGCTGGGCGACCGAGATCCGCGCAAAGCGGGCATCTCGGCTTCTTTGCTCCGCATTTTTTGGCGCAGTGGCCAGAATCACCGCAGCGATAACACCTACGCTGCAGTCCGCGGAAACGCACAACCGCTGAACGTGTCCGGTGTGCAAACAGCGGTGGCACCTCATGGGTCGGGGCTGCAGAGCCTCAACAGGGGAAAGCGTTCAGCTCACTCGGACGTGGCCAGCGCGAGCCAGCCGCCTCACCGTCGCTACCGGGCACTGTACCCAGCAGGCGTTGGCCCCCGATGGCGACGTCCGAGTTGGACCGATTCGGACGTCGCACTCGCGGCAGCCTCTAGCACTGGCCAAAGCTGTCGCCAGCTCCTCTTGGGCAACAGAGTCGTCGGCCATCCTTGCCACCCGGATGGCTCCCGACTTGATAGGCCGCCCGACCTTAACGCCCAAATTTGCGGATTCAACAATCCCCCTTGCGGGAGGCCAGGGCATCCGCTTTGGCGTTCTTCCCGTCGCCGGAGATCTGGAACATCATGTTCCCGGCGACGGTCTGCCTTACCCGGATTCCCGCGATCCCCAGCTCGTCGAGCTTAATCGCGGCTCGACACTGCCGCATAACGATACTACCGTGGCATACGACGCACTCTCCCTTTCCGCCACGAGAGTGATTGCCGCGATTGTTAAAACACGCGGAGTCCGCTTCTTTGCGCCTTCTCGCTTTTTGCCTTTGCTTGGGAGTCCACTGCCCCCAGGTGCCGATGTGGGGGAACACCTGAGGAAGGTCGCGCTACGGCCTTAGCCGAAGCCTTGGCCGCCCGCTTGGCCCTCCTCCCTATCACCCTAGCCCACGTGCCACCATCCGACGGCTGGCCGCCCGGTTGAGCTACCTGTTCCAACGGCCGGGCCGAACGGGGTTGGCTCCGCAAAGCGGAGCGAGAGGAGGTAACTCTCCCCCCTTCTTTTTCCCCCGGCTGCTGGCAGACCGCATTGTCCTCTCCTTGGAGGGGGTTTGTTGAGCGCCCGCCAGCTTGCGCTCGATAAACGCCTCTATATTTCCGAGGAGGGAGTCCTCGGAAAGACCTGCTTCAGCAGAAGACGGCGAAGGCGGGGGAAGAGGGGGCATGCAGGCCTTGGCCTTTTATTTCCGCTCGCATCTTTTGTGTTTCCATTCGCAGCTCTTGGTTCTCCAGATGCAATCCGGAAGGAGCGGAGCAATACCGCGGGTCATTCCGGAGACGCCCATCCAGCGTCTCCGAGATAACCCGGACGTTGTGAGTCGCGTCCCGAAGAGCCTTCACAGAAGTACCCTTCATCCGTTTTGAGCAGGACGCGATTTTCTTCATCGCCTGGAGTTCTTTATGAACTCGCCCCGCTACGTCTCTTATCGAGAGAACGGCGAGTTTCTTGTCAAGCGGTGGAGGGACCAGTTCTGGAGGCGGGAAAGGTCACCGGATGACCTCGGTATCTGGGTCCGAGCCTGTTCGGCGAGGTCTCGTGTGGCTTCCTCCTGGTGGCGTTTGGCATGATAACGAGCCGCGCGCCCCTCTTCACGTGGTCGACCTAGGTCGACAAACTTACCGTGGGTGGGTTTCCGCCCACGCGTCTCGGCAGGCGCCTCCACCTCCATCTCCTCCTGGGACTCAGAGTCCAGGAGGGAGGAAAATGATCCAAACAGGGATCTTCTACTGCCGCCCGTTCTGCTCATCAGCACGCCGGTCTTTGCAGGCGTAGGTTCAGTAGAGGAACCTACGGTGCACCTCTCCAGCAGCTCATCATGGAGTGACGACGAGAGAGAGGCTGGGACGATACCCCCCTCTTGCCGGGACCTGGCCGTCCGGTCGACCTGGTCCGGTAAGTCTACACTTTTCTCCTGACTTATCATAAAATAATTAAGAGTGGTGGTTTGATTTCGGAGTTTTTCTTCTTCTAGGTCGGCTGCTCACAGGGCTGACAAGCCCGGCCTGCCCGAGTGTGCTCTTGGTTCGGCCGTTCCCCGTGGATCTGTTCGGCAAGAGTGACCCTGCCAGGAACCGAAGTTCCCGCCGGCATCAACACGGCGCTCAAGCCTCTCCACCACGACAAGGCAGACCCCGGAGGGGACGGACTCTACTTACTATAATATAACCTTTTTTTTTGTTTTTTACAAGGGAAAATCCTTTATGGATACTCTGATCTGTATGGGCAGGCCAGAGTTATGTGGGACTTACCAAAGAGGCGTACTCACTAAAACCCCTTGAGGCTCCTCGTGCGCACTGGGAGGAAACCTGGAAACCCGGAAGGCTATAACGTTCCGGTTTTCCTCTCGCGTCTGAGTGCTCGCACACCGTACCGTACACCACACCTCCACGACGACAGGAAAAAGCCTATCTCTTCCTGCCGACTCTTACGTTTGCGTGCAATGTCCGAGAAAACCCTCACTTTCCCGGACTGCGAACCTTGACTCTCCTCTCCCCCGCCTACTGTGGAGTAGTCTTAGAGACATCTCAACAAGGCGAAGGAAAGAGTCCCTTCCATCTTCACGCGAATCTGGGACTTATTCCCTGGTCCGTCTTCGAGCCATTGGCTGGTCCTGGCGAAGACGCTCCGTGTTCTCTTTAACCGCGATAACCTTCTCGCAGAAGGTGAGAAAGGCCTATCTTTCAAGATTTGCCACCGCCTGTCGAAAGTCAGACGGCAGAGACAAGTCGGGACCAAGCGCCTCGCGCAGGACCGTTCTCTCTTTGTCTCATTTGGTGAACTTCTCCAGAGTGTGAGCCGCAGTATCGACCGCGACTTCGCAGTGCTCACACTCTGGAGTAGGCACCCTACCAATTCGGTGCAGAAAGGCCCCGAATACACCGTGCCTTGTGACTACCTGTGTAGACCTGAAAGTTATACACAGGTAAGGGCGCTCCATCCAGTCCTGTAGAACTAGGCCCACCGCTTTCCGGACCCTTTGTCCTGGGAGGAGCGGATCCTCCAGACGTCGCTGCCACCGCAGCATCGTTCTCTTGCGCGCCGTCAACCGCGTCTGCCGAATTTCCTCCGGATTTAGGTCACGGCCGGTTTCGCGCGCACGTCCCAAGGCTGCCTGTCTGGCGGCGTACACTTCCACGTACTCATCCGCCAGCAGGTCGACAGGTGGTATCCGTGCAAGCACACGGACAAACTCCAAGGCCGTGGTACGATACGCCCGCACAACTCGGCTTCCCACAAGGCGCTGGACCGCTGCCAACGGAGCGGCCGCACGGCCCACGCCAATCTCCCGGTGCCACACCGGGGCACCATACATCGCGACAGAGTGTACGACGTTGGAGTACAACTTTCGCACACTCTGCCGCGGACCACCGAGATTCGGGAGAAGCCGGCTTAATGCCCAGACCACCTTGCGGGCCTTGCATGCTGCGCACTTGAAGTGGGCCTTGAAGTCTCACCTCTTATCCACCTGTAGCCCCAGGTATTTCATGTGATGTTGGGACACGACGCGTGTCGGCTCAAGCTACACACATACACCGGACCGCCTCTCCGGCGGCGAGGAGGTCGAAAGACTATCGCTTCCGTTTTGGCTGGGGCAAGAGCCATTCCCAACGGCTCCATGGGACACCGCCGCCACCGCCAAGGAAGCTCGCTCCACCGCTACCCGCTCATCATATTCACCCGACAGGACGAGGGTATCGTCTGCATAACAGACGAGCGAGCACCCGGGTGGGAGCGGATTCGTCCGTCCGCATACGGAAAGACCACACACCGATTGGACAAATAACTATCCAACACGGCTTGGAGGCATGGTGCGAACCCCCAAAAGTTACTCGCTGCGCGTATGCCACTCCAGAAGAGAGTGTTAAACGCGTTGCGCACGCCAAGACTGACGACAACGCAAACACTGCTCTCCTAGGTGAACTTTTCCGCCACGGAACGGAAGCGGAGAATTGCGTCCATCGTGGACAGGCGCGGACGGAATCCGAACTGGCCCGCGTTCAACTTCTTTTGCCTCGCCAACGCATCCTCGATGCGTCGGGCCAGGACTCGTTCAAAAAGTTTCCCGAGCTCGTCCAACAAGCAGATAGGCCTGAATGACGGCGGCCCTCCTCCGGGAGCGACTGGTTTGGGAATGATAACAAGCCTGGCCCGTCTCCACGTCTTAGGAAAAACACCCTCCTTTAGGCACCGGTTAAAGCATCAAAGAATATGCTCCGGTGCTTTAACTGTTATCCGCGCCTACACCACGCAGGGTAGTCCATCCGGGGCGGTGCGGCGCCCGGCAATCTTTTTAGCAACGGAGCGGAGCTTCTCCGCCGTCACCGCAAATTCCTGACGCCACGGGAACACCTCCCGAAGCGCGAAAGGATCATCGACTCTGGAAGGAAATAGAGTGTCAACCACCCTGCGAACCTTCTCTATTTCCATCGTTTCGGTGATGGCCGGACTTGCTGCTCGCAACTTTGACAGGACCAAACGGTATGGCATACCCCACGGGTCTCTGTTCAAGCCGGCGACGAGTTCTTCCCACGCTCCCTTTTTGGCAACGGAGGCCAAGACGGCATGCCGGAGCTCGCGCTGCGCGTTGCGAAAACCGCGGCGCAACACCTCCACTCTTCCGGAAGATGGCTTCTCCGTTTTCGGGTTCGCATGTACCGACGCCAGGCCACGACGCAAAACCTGCGGAGGACCGCGATGTCCTCGGTCTACCAGTAGGTAGACTTTTTCACCACGGTTCGCCGGACCTACGGCATGGAGACGACGCATGCGTCCGCAGCGACTTATGAGCCACGCAGCCTCTTCCTCCGCGGAAACATTCCTCTCGGGAGGGATCTCCCACGTCGCGCCCAGCAGCGCCGCGTCAAAGCGATCCAGGTTCCACTCTCGGATTGTTCACCTCGGGAATGGAGACCAACGCATTCCCGATGCACATCCCGCGCGTTCTGATACCTCGAAGGAGATGTAGAGGTGGTCAGAGGCGACTCTTGCTGCCGCAGCACCGATCACCCTCGCCACCAGCAGAACCACCGGCGCAGACCCCAACGTGAGGTCCACGACAGAGGACCCTTGAGGGCGAACACATGTCGGCGTTGCGCTTTCGTTCAGGACCCGAAGATCCAGATTCGCCGCCTATCTCTCACCTTTTTTTTGTGGGAGAAATTCATTAAGGATACCCTAACCTCGGGGGAAAAGTCAAAGTTATGTGGGACTCTCCCTCTCTGTCCCGCAGAAAGGAGAGGGTATACCCACTAAAACCCCCACGGTGTGCCTACTTCGCTCGTCAGAAGGAGGGACCCGGAACCTCTGGTAAGGACTCTTCCTCGAGCCGTATCTACTACTACTCAGAGAGGAAGTAAATCACCTCCCCTCCCTTCGGCAATCACTGACTTGGCGGCACAGCGGGACACACGCCGCTGCGTCGCCCCCACTCGGGACCGCGTGCAAGATGGATCAGGGTCTCCCGACCTTGACCCGTCGCGGTCTGTACTTCTTCTGGGAGAGATCATTTTTATTTAAACCGCTCTCCCAGTCGTAACCCTACCCGGGGTTTAAAGGGCACCCGGCTCCCCCCATCCTGTAGGCAGAGTTGCGGTTCTTGGCTTGGCAGAGGGGATAACGTACCTCCTCTCTGCACGTTGCAGTCATATGATCCTGGCCCTGTTTACCGCAGCGGTAACAAACGTTGCTGCGGTCAACAGGACTGTTGCAGTTCACTCTGCAGTGCCCGGGCTCAAGGCAACGGTAACACTGCAGGGGACGAGAGCGAAATGCTCGCACACGCGCGCTCACCCATCCCACCCGCAACCTTCCTACCGCGACCGCCCTAGCGGCAATTTCCGCTGGGCACTTTACCCAAGCGGAGCCTACTTTGGAGGGGGAGAAACGCAGAGATGACACCCTAACGCTATCTTCCTTCCCTCCAAAACCTCTTAAAAACGCCGCACATCTTTTTGCTGGAGACAACAGTCTCGTCCAGTCCAGAAACCAGTACTTCGGTTATACGGACCGGACGAGACACCTTAGCCCCCTCAAGCATCCCTCTTAATTTCTCCGCCAACAAATCGGCCTTTTGCTTTTGATCGGCACCGCCGACCTCCAGAAGGATGCACCCATCTTGGGTGCGCCTCATCCTGAAGACCGCGATACCGGTTGCCTCCAGATCAATTTTTTTTCTCGCCGCGCGAAGGATTTTGGCGTACGATTGTACACCTTTGCCCCCGAGACGGAGAGAGACAGCCTCCGTAGTCAGAACTACCATCTTAGGAGGAGGCGCACGAACTACTGTTGTAGCTGCCGAGGTAGCCGAAGGCTTTGCAGTTCCCCCCGTACCACCATCGTTGTAGCCGCAGGCTTCTTCTGTGCTTCACTCTTCTTTTTCTTCTTTTTCTTCCTCAGCACCCGCGCAAACTTTGCTCCAGTAGAGGTTGGAGCGGCGAGCGCATGATGCTGAGCTTCACTAACGCCCTTTTTGAGGGAGCGTATCTCCTTCCTCACTATCTCCCTCACCTCTGCGCGCACGATCTCCAACCACGAGGGCCGATGTCCTTTTGGCACCTCTGATGGGAGTCGAGGCGCGAGTTCCTCCTTCCTGCCCACGAAAGGAGGCCTCTATTGCCATGATAGATGGTGAGGCCTCCTTGTGGATGTCCTCCACTGTGGCACGAACCTCCGCTATTTCCTCTTATATCCTATGATATAAAGGTCCGTTGTAGTCGCGGACCCTCTTTCCTTCTCTTCCTTCTTCTTAGAGGCTTCGGTCTTTAATCGCTCCTCTTCTTGTTGGCGCTGAGCCGCCACCTCCTTATGCAGGGAAATCACTTTTTGCTCCAAGCGTCCGTAGCTTGTGCTGACGAACTCCCTGGTTTTGATCTCAGCAATCGCGTCCTTAAGCTGATCGTACAGCGGCTTCTTTCCTCTCTCCTCCTCTCATTTTCGAGCGCCTGCACAGTCGATCCCACAGCTCATCGAGCCAAGCGGACATCGACTGGCCTCCGCAATTGTTGCCCCCTGCAACATATCTTCAAAGGAAAGCTCCTCGCCTCTCATCTCGGACTCGAGGCTGCGCTCAGCTTTTTTTTTCTCTGCCACTCCGGCAAGATGCTCCCTTACCTTTGCGATGGCTTCAGCGATCATAGCATCTTCAGAGGCGCTCGCCGGCAACGTCTCCTTCGGCCCTTCGTCGGATAACGACGCAATGGAGACAGGGACAATATCCCCACCGTGCCGTGTCTGAGTGTCCGATCACTCTGAGGCGGTAAGTTTCTTTTCTGAGTGTTTGACATATCATTAAAAAAAATACCTGTGGTTTAATTTCGGAGTTATCTTTCACCTAGGACGGTTGTCTACCATGACTGGCGAGCCCATTCTACCCGGGTTGTTATCGAGGTTTACTTTTTTTTATTCCAGTGTCGAAACTAATGGGCCCGAACGCCCGAGGAAGTAGACTGCTTTGTTAGAGGCGGCTGTCAGTCGCCCCGTCGTGGGTCCATCGTTGGGTACTTGGGATATTTTGTTGCGAAGCAAGGCCCTCTTTTCCCACCGGGGGAATAGCCCAGCCCCGCCCTCGGGAACTTACCGCTGCTTGTCCGCGGCCGCTTATTCTCCCCAAAAGGGGGTTATTCACGGCTAATCTCTCATACAAGAGGCCGTTCCTCTATCCGCAACCTGGGGACGCGCTCAGTAGCATGCAGCTCTGCTTTTTCGGTTTGTGGGGGTTATAGTCCCCCTCTACAAACCGGACTGAGAACCTTATTATTATTTTTTTTTTTTTTTTTTACATGGGAGAAATCCTTTATGGATACCCTGGGAGAAAGGTCAGGGTTATGTGGGAATCCCTCCTCTCATCCTCGAGCGAGAGGAGGTGTACCCACTAAAACTCCTATGGTGTGTCTACCCTGCTCTTGGTAGGGAGGGACCCAGGATTCCATTGTAAGGATGCGCGCGGATCCCCCCCTGGAGCTGTTTACTGCTGTGGGGAGGAGAATAGCAGAGAAAAGTTCTTCTTCATACCTCCTTCCCGAGCATTGGGTGCTTCGTCCTTGTTCTTGGTGTCACCTCGGGACACACACCGTGGTGACACCCCATCTCTTAGGCCGCGTGCAGGACGAGCCGAGGCCCCCACCTCGACTCGTCACGGTCCCGCGGCGGCTAATGAATAAAAACACACAACCGTGGTGGACGGTACCACCACGGGAATAACAGCCGCCGCCCGCTTGCTCGCGCGTCGAAGACGCATCCCCGAGAACGGTGGGCTAACGAGAGGCACCGGCTCCTCTCAACGCCCACCGCTCCGTTATAATTAAATCTCCCCAT